GTTAGCCTATTGCGTTCTGGCGTTGTTTGCCATTTCCTACCAATCAGGTGGATTTATTAGCTCCAATGATGGCAGAGCGCGCGTCAATTAGCAGCACGAGCTGGTAGACTGGCTTGATTTCAAGAAGACGAGACATTCAACATGGATCCATTCAACATGGTTTATCTTAATGGTATATTAGTGGGTAATACCTAGTAGATAACTTGTCATCCACATAATTCTAAGTTAGGGTACACACAGTATTGCAGAGTGCACGCACAATAAGCACACCAAACTTTCCAATACACATATACTGTATAGTTCCTTGTAATTATTACGAGAAATGACATCGGTAGAGGCGTAAGTCAGTATATCTACTATTCTTTTACAAAATGGCACACCCGAGACGTTGAGACAAACCATTGTTTGAGTTCATTTACTTAAAAAAATACTTTAAATTAAATTTAAAAGTAAGTACTTAGTACTTTCACTTAAGTAAGATTGTTGATGTAGCACTTCTACTTCAGTACATATTTTGCAGGATATTTGTACTTTTACTTAAGTACTAAGCTTCAGTACTTCCTCCACCACTGGTTCCTGAGTGGTTCGTTGATTGTGAATGTTCCGTTGTTTGTGATTATTGGATATTGCTTGATGTTACCTGCCTTGTTTTGTAATTAGTCTTTGTTTACTTTTGACCCCTTGTGGTCCTTTGTTTTTGTCTTTTCTAGTGTTTTAGTTTATTTAATAAAAACCTGTTTTGTATTGTTGAGCCGCAAGTGGGTCGTCCACCATTTCTGCCTGCACCATGCCACAGCCACACCCACACACTAAATCCGTCCGAGTCCATGACAGGACCAGTGACTGGCAATGGAATCTCCTGCTGATTCTGTTCCCAAATGTTCAAAGTCATCAAATGTGAATATGCACTGGAAAAGTGCTTCACCTCTTTGTCCAGCGAGGCCTCAAGGTGCAGGGGTTTGTCTGACATGAGAAACTGTCGCGTCGTCTCCGCCATGGGCTGGGGACCAGGCTTCTCTGGAGCATATTGGACTTTCCTTATGACGAGCCGTACAGAATTCCTGCATCATACAGTCATTAGGGAGTCAGTAAGATGAGAGTCAATGACAGTCGCAGATCTTTTATAATCCTGCCTAAAATCTACCTCTCTCTGTTTATGTGTGTTAAGTCTATGACAAATTACAGTTCTGTCTGTGCATTTTGTGAAGAAAAAAAAATGCACTGAATATATATAGGGGAACAGTGATCAAAAATTGCTGTTCTCAGCACAAGAGAAATGGGTAATACTATTGAGAAAACATTTGATTTTAAATTTAATAAAACACTTTTCTTGCGTCTATTCACACACATTGTTTGTATATTTATACACTTCCATGACACTCACCAGCATAAGTGGTTGGAAGATATTAATAATATTTATAATATTATTATAATTTTCTCATATAATTTACCTCTGTTTAATGACCTCAATTCTGGAGGTTGCTAAGACATAGGTGATCATTAGTTGATTTTTAAATTTGCTCATACAGAAATGTTCAAGGCTTAAGTCACAAGTCACAGCATGTTGTTGTCGCTGACCTTTTGTGTATTCTCTCATCCAAATTCTCAGCACAAAAAGCTTTCACTTCAAAGTCAACACCACAGGCCTTCAAACAGAATAAGGTACAGCATATATGTCACCCAAGATAAGTCTGTCAATCATGTGTGACAGAAATAACTAAAATTAATCCATGAACTCCATATTTGTAGCATCCGATAAAAATAAACAATCATTCTATTGATGCAAGCAAGACATCCGATAATTTGTATTGGAGCCTGTTAAATATATTTTATATATATCTTTAGTATTGTTATTCTGGTCACCTTGCCGGTGTCCTCCTGTCCAGGCTGCAGGGTGACAGAGCACGGCAGATTTGTAGGAATCTGGAAGACAGTTAGACAGAGCCAAATAAAGTTAGCCACAGCTTCAGCACCCAAATAAGTCGTATAGTAAATGAAAAGATTTACACTCAGTTCATTAAGTTCACCTGCTTGTTAATGCAAACAGGCTGCTCCTTCAAACGGCGAATCATGTGGCTGAAACGAACGCAGCACACAGAGTGGGACAAAAGCTTGTTTACTGTTTGGCTAAGATGTCTGGGCTAAGTGATTTTTTTTTCGGTCTGATTGTTGGTGCCCAAAGTGGTGGGTCTAGCATCTCAGATTCTTGGGCCTTTCACATATTCCAGTTTCTATAGTTAAGAGACAATGTTACAATAAACAAAAAAGTAACATCCATATGTATAATTTTACCTCGAAGGTGAAGGGGTAAGCATTCTCTCCAAGCTTTTTAATCAAGCGCTCCTGAAGACGAGTTAAGGTGTTCTTTTGTTCGGGCACTGGTGGAAAGGCTTGGATGTTGTCAACAAACAGGTCTTTTCGAAATGTAAATCCCAAAACATCTAAGTCTTCTCGGCCGTAGCGAAAGGCACATGTCAGAGTCACAAAAACTGAGGATAAAGGATGCAAGAATAATGACTGTATGTCAGGACAGATATATAGCTGCAATAAAGTTTAGGAATCCTTTGGCAACAACACATTATGTAATAGCACAATATTATGTAGTAACTTGACAAAATGTAACAAATTTTCATCACATAATGTGGTGTTATAATATAATGCATTGTCACACTGTGTAACAAAGCATTATGCATTAATACTGCATTATGTAATAACTGGACAAAATGTAACAAACTTCTAACCTACGTTACAATTTTATATTTTAAAATTAACCTATTATTATTACTGCTATCATCATCATCAACCTCATTATTATTACATTGTAATAATATTATTACATTGTCCAAAAAGGAGTATCCGTGTGTTTTTGCGAGTGACTCTGTGACTGAATAGCAGGCAAAAGTTCAAATACAGAACAACACAGAAAATAATGAGTGGGTCGGATCACTTGTTAATTTATGAACAAGGTTACAGACTTCTTTAGTTAGCAAGGGTTTTGAGAAACACTCATTAATCAACGAATGATCTTGAGTATGAGATAACTAACTACTTAGCATCACAAAACTTTCGGGAAATGCACGCCTGAAAATGTACCTAAATTTTCCTAAATCTGCATGTCTAATGAAAATTTGTTAAATTTCGTGACTTATTACATAATGTGGTGTTATTACATAATATGTTGTTACAGAGTGTGCGACAATGCATTGTATAATAACACCACATTATGTGATGAAAATATGTTACATTTTGTCAAATTAATAGCACAACACGTTATGTAATAACACTACATTTTGTGATGAAAACTTGTAAAATTTTGCCCAGTTATTACAGAATGTGGCATTATTACACAATATGTTGTTTCATCTTTGGAATAATCTATATCAGTGCTTCCCAACCCAGTCCTCAGAGATCCTCACAGTCCATACTTTTGCTCACTCCCTAAAGAACAAATGTGGACTGTTGCTAAAATACCAAAATATAATTGTTTTTATATTGAAGTAATTGCAAAGTAAACAATGAGGCATTTACTAAGGGAATAACAGTAGTTTTATAATGAGTTGAGCTTTAAATCACCATTGAAATAAAACACAGCAATCAAGGCACTACAAAACTGTATATCTGGGATATTTTCTATGAGCATGAGTAAATGTGGCTTTCCCAGTCATTCTATAATTGCCCACACAATCGATTAAATAAAATTAGATACATTGAATCATCTCTTTGATTATACCATAATTATGTGACCTTTCTGATGCAGTATTAAATCCTCTGTGCTGTCTGAATTCCATTTGTCTGCAGGTTAAATATTTAATGATTTGCTAGATTAATTTTTATTTGGCATTAATGTTTAAATTAGGAGGTCAAGTGCCACATCTATATATTTAAGCTTAAACTCTCCAGTTGAGGCTTGGTGAGTATTCAGCAGATGAAGTAAGTATTTAGGATGTTAACAGTTTACTGTGGTCATTACCTTTTCTTTCCTTTAGGTATTCAGTATCAATCAAAACCACACCATCTGTAAGAAAATTGAATTACTGTGTTACATAAATATTAAACACTGCAAAAGATACATTTTTGATGTTCATTGATGAGGAATGGATCAAATATTTTTTATAGTTCACAGGAAATTCTACTACGGACATAATTCCCAAAACAGATTGATTCCCAAACGCCTTAAAAGATCATTATAGTGAATTTTCTCATCTCCCTCTGAGTTACCAAAAAGTACTCCAAAATTCAAATTATGAATTTTATTTATGTATTTTAAAATTTGCACAACATTAACCATTATACAGCCATGGATGTAATTTGTACAAATATTACAGATTATATTACAATTTAACTGCAATTTTACAATTATTTTTAAAACATACACATATGCTTCAAGGTAGTGGACATTTATAAATATCAATAAACTTCAATTGACGCAAATAAACAAAATAGACAGAGAAATTTAAAAATAAATAGCAGCATTTCGTTATGGAAGAAATGTTGCTAAATTAATTAATAGCATGCCTGCTCTAACTTACATATGAACCGAGATTAGCTAACGGTGGCTTACCGACAGGGTCCACAAGGTCTACATGGTCAACAAAGTCCCTCTTTCCCAGATACACAGTGAGCTGGAAAAAAGACATTGTACATAACACCGTTATTTCAGTAAAAACGATTGGTTAGCTATGCAAATACAGAGAGATCGCAGCCACTGCAGTTCTTCAGTGAAAACAAATTTCAAATTCAGAGTTAAACTGCCATCCATTCATCCACCCATCTTCTGTAATCCAATACAAAGATGAGATACTAAAGTAATGTAGATCATATAAAATCTGGATGATTAAACAGCAGGACGTTATTTGAATTAACTGTAATATTCTGAAAGAAACATGTGTGTTACAATGAAACAATGTTGGGCAATGAACCTTTTTAAGTATTTAATACATTATATCCAAATCCCTCACATTACATGCAACAAGGACTATAGAATACATTGTTGATATTGTAAGTGTGGCCATAAATGTGACATATTTCAGCTGAACTTACTTTGCCATTTGGACTTGCTTTCTTGAATACTCTGAAAAAAAGAACAAATTATGAAAATGTTGCTGTTCTCTGATAAATGATAAATGTGTCTGCAAACAAAAGTTTAGAGACGGTGGCATTTTAGGTATGCTTGAAAACTTTTCTTATTCAATGAAAGTGAAAGATCACACCTCCAGTCAACATTTAAAAATATTTGTGTTATTTTGTAAGTGGAATCCAGGCATTATCTTGCCAACGCAACATCCAGACTGTCTTTTTTGAATTTGTGTTAATAATATCATCACATCACTGACTCCTTATGTTACACAAAAGCAAAGAAACTTGAAGATAATGAAAAATACAGAAATTGAGTAACTAAAGAGCTGTATGACAGGAAATAAAGAATGGAAATAAACAGTCACGTGTAGCAGAGCACAACTATTAACATTAGAACTATATATACAAGACCAGTCAGACGATTTTGCATAACCTGAGATTTTCTGTATTTGCATGTTACTCACTTAACATTTACTACACACAAAATTACACAAATTTGCTAACCAATAAGTTTACAGTATGTTTCACCATTTCAGTACCTTTATTAGCAAGAAAATGTCATGTCTTTGATTCATTGTAGTAACCTCCTCTAGCAGTTATAAGGCAGACAGAGAAAATTTGTGGCATTCTGTCTAGAAGGGACATTACATACTGCTGTGTTTCATGGGATGAAACAGTTAACTAGCGCATAGGACGGCCTAGAATTTGACTACACCATCACCTCACAACCAGTGAACAGGATGTCAAACATGCACTGTTACATACTCCTTCCATGTTATAAAGGAAACTTGTTTTATTTGACTTATATTTTCATTTATAGTTCACTTTCCAGTGCTTAACAAGAATAAATGGAAAAGTGGTAAAAACCTGTGATGTGACTTTTGACTGATAGTGTACATATATAGTTTTCTTATTTAGACACATATCTATTATTGATCTAAGGAAATGGGGAGCATGAAATTTCACTATCTCAGGAGGAAGTCATGTGACCCATTTTACTCCATTACTTCCACCTGTCCCTCATTCACTATAATATTATATTTCAGCAGAAATTGGGCTGCTTTGGTTTTCTTCCACCTTCAGTAACCTGGATTTTTACACAGCGGGTATCCCCCTAGCAGCTCTGTGTTTATTTCATCCCTCCTCATCTGTAAATCCAGATCCTCCGTATACTGTTCCTATTTGTGTCATGGAAGCTCCACCCTGATGATTAACCAGCATTACTCACTACTAAAGCCCCCATGTCTCATGACTCAGTTCATTGATTGCAAGTATTCTACAAAAGGATCATATATTATATTATATTATATTGTATTTTCATGGCTGGTGCTTGTCCAGCATGCCTTGCCTCACTAGCTGTATTCAGCACTTCAAAAGGCAATTCCTTCTGACTTTGTTGGCTCTAATTAATTTTAGAAATTTCTGTTGCAAGAAATTGCTGCAAATTGTAAGGTGATTCAAAACATTGAAAATAGTTCATTTTAATGTGCATACACGCAAAAACATGGAATATTTTATTGCAGAGGAATTTCTATTTTAAAAATTCCCAAATTTCCATTTTTCCATATTTACTGAATTCCCATCAGCATTATGCTCTAATTTTATTATTTGATTTTATTGCAGAGATGTATAAAGACAAATCATATAAAATTAGTTGTTGGTAAGGGTGTCACGTTTTCGATTTTAAATCGAAATCGATCGAAATTCATGCTCAATCTCGATTATCGAATCAAAAAATGGAATCGTCGATGCTGCCACGCCCCCATGTCACGTCAGCTTGGCTTGCCAAGCGAAAAAAAAAAAAAACACGCTTGTTGAAGTGCTGCGAGTCAACCTAACAGCTACAACAAACAGCCAAAAGATAGCATGGCAACTGCAGACGCAGGAGACCCATCGACAGAACTTGAACCCCCTCCTCTTTCACTGAAGTCGCCGGTGTGGAAGTATTTTGGATTTCCAGTGAGTTATGCTGACAACGTTCGTGTTGTCGACAAAAAAAACACAGTTTGCAAGCTCTGCTATGTACGTATACCACAGTATTCCACCGGCAGCACGACTAACATGGCAGGGCATCTCCGCAGGCACCACAAAAACATAGATTTATCTGTTAAACCGACAAGTGTAACACAAACTACTCTCCCATCTTCATTTGGAATAAAACTTCCAAGTAACTCAACACGTGCAAAGGCAATTACAAGCGCGGTAGGAGTATTTATAGCCACGGACATGTGACCTTATTCAGTGGTAGAAAACTCCGGTTTTAGGCATTTAATTAGCGTGCTAGAACCGCGCTACGAAATCCCAAGTAGAACGCATCTCACAGCTACGGTGATACCCTCCATGTACAATAATGTGAAGGAGAAAGTTATTGAAGGTATTAGCAGCTTCATGACTGTCACAGCGCATTACATTAATTATGACTGGGAAATTCAAAATCCAGTACTTCAAACTCGCCCCAT